GCGCTTGGCGACTGCTTCTTCTCGGTGCCCTCACCGGGTACTTTGGCGCTCTTTTGCAAAGATTGCTTCTTCCAATGCCACGCTGCCTACGTGGCTGCGCTGGGCGAGGCCCTCGCGCAGGAGTACGCTGAGATCGCGGGGCGCGGTCTGCTGCTGCAGGTCGACTGCCCTGATCTGGCAATGGGTCGCCACACCAGGTGGTCCGGTTTGACGGACGCGGAGTTTCTGGAAGTTGCGCGTTGCAACATCGTGGCCCTGAACCGTGCATTGGAGGACGTGCCCACCGAGCAGATTCGAGTCCATGTCTGTTGGGGCAACTACGCCGGACCTCACCACAGGGACATGCCGGCCGAGCTGCTGTGGCCGCTCATTGGAGAGATCAAGGCCAAGTATATTCTGGTGGAAGGTGCCAACCCGCGGCATCGGATTGACGTTGCCGCCTTTGAGGACGCAGTCCAGAAGGGCTACTTCAAGCCGCACCAGGTTATTGTGCCCGGACTGGTGGACACCACTACAGCTCGAGTGGAGGACCCCAAGCTTATCGCTGAGAGCTTGCTCCGCTACGTGCGCGCAGTTGGTCATCCCAGCCGCGTAATTGCCAGCACTGATTGCGGCTTCGCTTCTACTGCCAAATCCACGGCGGTCTCTGCGGACATTGCCTGGATGAAGCTCCGGAGCCTCGCAGAGGGTGCTGCCTTGGCCACTTGCCGCTATATCGACCAGCGCGCCCCGGTGCCCTGCCGCTCCCCGAACTTCATGCCGACGCCCTTCCGCCCGGTGATCTTCGCGGAGGGCTCCAGCAACTACGTCAGGGAGCTGCAGGCGGCATTCTCATGTCTCACCGTGCATCCGGCCAGCATCTTTGCTGAGGACGGCTTCGACAGACTCCGCTGGGTTGTGGATGCGCCGCTGGCTTTTGTGGCGCTCGGGTCACAAGGTCTGCAACTGGCTGAAGCCACCATGGGCCGTCTCAAGGCTGATGGTGCTGTGTCCCGGCGCCCGGCCACGCTTACGGTGGCTGCTGAGCAAGAGGCGCCCTTAACACTAGCAGCGAGGGCCCGCGATCTCGCTTTGCAGCAGACGGGCTTTGACAAGCGATGTTTGGTTCTGCCTCGCGTCGCAGCGCCTCCAGCCTCTGCGGATGTCGTCGTCGTGGGTGCAGGGCTTCTTGGAATGCTCACAGCACACCGCTGCCGCAGCGCCGGCTTCAGCGTCGCTGTTCTGGAGCAGCGGGCCCTGGTGGGCGGCATCTGGTCCATGTACGCCAACTCCACTTCCCAGGTGAACAGCTCCGAGGGTGGCTACTGCATCAAGGAGCTTCTGGGTGAGGAGGACGGCAAGGCCGCCTGGGACAACCGGGACCACAGCACCGCCGCCGAGGTCCTGAAAGACTTCGCCAAGCTGGGGGACCGCCTGAAGGAGCAGATTTTCACTTCGGTGCGAGTCGTCAAAATCCTGGGCGAAAACGGAAGGTACACCGTGCTCTTTGAGGATGGATTCTCACAAAGCGCCGGCGTGCTCCAATGCCGCGGAGTGGTTCTGTGCATCAACGACCGAGTGGGCATCCCACGTCCTCTGTCGGTGCCGCGAGCAGACTTTGCTGGTGTGGTGGCAGATGGAACATCAGATTCTTTGGCAGGCATGGATTGGCGCGGCAAGCGCGTGGTTATCGCTGGGATGGGAGCCTTTGCCGTGGAGAACGTTCGCACAGCTCTGGAGCAGGGCGCATCCGAGGTCGTTGT